ATGTATAAAGTTCACACTACAAAACAAAGTTTAAAAGTCAAACGGGTTACGGGTTTTTCTACTTATATAAAGCAAATCCACTTCATGTTAAATGACATTGTCTCTGACATTTTTAAATTAAGCCAATGTTTACACAGCACGTACGTATAACCTCTGCTGTTTGCTCTACGTTAAGCAACAGCAACTGTTTTTGTTTCACACACGCTCCGTTTTGAAACAGTAATGTGAAAAAGTCTGCTGAGATGTAGCAGTTCCCCTTGTTACACAAGTTAAATCAGTGACCTCAGTAATAAACTGGACTGTGCCTTTAAAATAAAAAGTCAGTAGCTTTAGCTTTATTAGCTGGATTAGCGTAGTATTGACTACTACAATCACACTTCTGATTTTATTGGCAAATCGTTCCAATTCCTTCAAAGTCTTCATTGGTTTTTGAGTCAAAACCTTTTTATTTTGTACTTGTTCTGTGCAGCCTCTGTGATGCAATTGAAACCGTCCAAGAACTGTTACTACTGCAGTAACGACAGGCTGTGGTTTATAAACACTGCAGCTTTATTTCCATGAAAGTCTATAATTTAAAAAGCTGCTAAATTAAAGGTTAGTTTAAAAGAGGTCTGATAATTTCCACTTTGATTTCTGTTCTGCTCCTTACAAAGGTTGGACCTACAGTGATATAGTTTTATAATAACATTGTAACATATGGTAGCACAGTCGTAGTACGAGCAGTTTATTGTCCCTTTGGGAAACATTGGCTTGAAGCATTTTTAAGAGAGTGATATAATTTAAAAACGTCTGTTCGATTTGACCATTTTTATTTTATCATAGCATAAAAAAATATGAGCTCTTTTCCCACCGGTGTAAATCTGGTAAATTAGATTTTATTTTTCCTTGTGGCTTGGAGTGACCCGGGTGTTAAAGACGTCCCCCTGGAATTCTAGTAAGAAGGAATTCTCAAATGAAAACAACACTTGCAGAAGTGTGAATAATAAAGTTATTTATGTAACCCTTGTATGTGTAGGTTAAAAATTAACTTTGACTGTCAGGTAGTTTCATTGTTGGTATTTGTTCTACATCAGTTTGAGGGTAAATAAATGAGTTTGTTTTTTGTGAAATATTTTTTAATTATTTGTCCTTGTTTATACAGCCTTTATTTGTCTCCCGTTCTTACAGATCCTTCCCAGGTCGGCCAGCACAGCTCCTTATCGTAAGTGCCTCGGCTCCTTTTATGTCGCACTGTGTTGGCAGTAAAGTTACAACTTTGCCGTGGATAAGCACTTGAACTTTGAGTTGCAAACAAAATAAGACCTCTAAAATAACCAAGGTAGACAAGCATTGTTGAAGGAGTGTAGATTTGATTGCTGCTAATAATGGTTATCCTAGGAATCTGTCTAGGAATCTGCAGTCGCTAAGGACAGTATATAGGAACAATATTTTAAATATTCCATTAAAACTTTATCTTTAACTTGATGGCAGAGTATGCACACTTTTTTTTAAAGTGCAACGTGTTATTAATAGGTGAGTGTTATTGTGTTGTAGCTCCTCTGAGAACGCACATTCCAGTGGGGTTGAGACAGCCAGCTCCAGTGACTCTGACAGCAGCTCAAGATCAGAGTCGGACAGTGAAAGCACCACCGGAGAACCGTCAGAACCTTTGGTGAACAGCTCAGTTAAACCTCAGGTAATGTGCCGCTGTACTATACTGGAGTCACAGAAGGACGGCTGAAGGACGTTCTTGATTCTCTGATGAACTCCTGTTGTGTCTTTTCCCAGGCCGGCGCTCCAGCAGTGAGCAATGACGTCTGGCAGCTGAGTCAGTTTATCAGGTTCAACCAACAGAACCCCAACACCGTCCACGTCTCCGAGAGCACGGCTCACACACCGCTCCCGTCTACTCCCAGCTCCAAACACTCCAGTGCAGAGGTGCTCGGCTCCTGCAGGGACTCCAAGCCTCAGCTTTCTAATCTACAAACGGAGCCTGTTGACGACCTGAACAAACCCCAGCAGCACAGCCAGAGCCACGAGAACAGCTGTCATCAGAACAGTAGCCATAACTGCCCTTCGCTTGAGCTCAGAAAACCGACATGTAAGACGCACACAAAACCAGCAAAGGAAGACTGCACAGATCACGGCGAGGCAGCGGTCAGTGTTAGGCGTGAGGAGACGTCTGTCACCAAAGAAGGCAGCGGTCAGTGTTAGGCGTGAGGAAACGTCTGTCACCAAAGACAAAGACCCGGGTTTAACTGACAGGCCCAAAGTAAAAATAAAAACAAAACATTGCAGGAAAAGCAATGAGAAGGACTCCAAGAAAGAGAGCAAAAGGACGACTAAACACACAGCTTCAAACAAACCAAAGGCAGGGTCAGAGCTAGATGTTAAGCTAGGCCCGCAAAGTGGGTGTACATCTTGTGGTAAGACGTATCCCGACCTCTGCTCCTGCCCCAGTCAAAGTCTTACTCAGTCTGACCACTTATCTCTACAACCACCAGTGAAAATCAACAAACCAAAGGAAGAGAAAACCAGCCGGAAAGACTCCAAGAAACCTCACAAAACAGCCCACAGTCAGCCGGGGAAGAGCAAGGGCGTCGTTAAGCCGCCTCAACTGTTGGTGGTGAAGATTGATCTAAGTCTGCTGTCCAGAGTCCCACGCGCATCTGGCGACCTGCAGGACGCCAACAGCAACGCAAAGAAAAAAGCAGTTGTTGTGAAGCCAAAAGGAACACAGAACCTGAACAAGAAAAGCTCAAAAGTGAGCGATGTGTGCACGGAGAGCAGCGGAGATCAAAACACTGAGGTCAGTTCTTATTTTAATGTGAGGTTTGTTGTTGTCTTCTAGGTGGAGGCGGACGGTAAACCTCACCACGGGAAAAAACGGAGACTAGAAGAAAACATCAACTCACCGGCTCATGTCTCTGCCAAACTCCAGTAAGTTTTTGTTTGAACCTCTCTGTCCATTTATTTGTCTTTTCTTTTTATATATATATATATACATTTCTTTTATTTATTATTGTTGAACCAAACAGTCACGTCTTCAGTGTTTCAGTTTGTTTACATCCACACACGTCTCAATTTACCCTTAAGAAAAAGAACAGCAAAATGATTGATGATTTATTCCTGTCTGTGTTTTCTGCAACAGAAGAAAAAAATACAAAGAGAACAGTGTTTAGAAACAAAAGTTACGCAAGAGATGGAGAAAAAAATAGAATGGAGGAGAGGATAAAAAACAGAGATTTACAGGGAGTTTAACTTGTCAGGTTGAGATTTTTTTAAATGTTTTTATTGTAGTTTAACTTGTCAGGTTGAGATTTTTTTTATTTTTTATTTTATTGTCATTTATTGTTTCTAGTTTTAATTAAGACATGACATCAGAAACCCACAGATGTGACCTCCAGGTGGGGCCCTTCACCTTAATCTCAGCAGTCAGGGAGTGTTAGACATGCAAACCTTCAGCTGGGAATCGTGTTGGACCACAGACAGATTGACAGGTCTCTATGACCAAGTCCTCAGACACTGTGTCCCACCATTTTCTCTCGAGTGGACTTTGGACATGCCTTTAAATTCGACGAGTGTTAGATGATAACATGAAGAGCTCTTGATTCTCAACGTCTCATTTCTGTAAACTTTGCCCACAGAAGTTGCAGCGGCGAGACAGAGGACAGGGGCAGAAAAAAAGCCAAGACAAACCCTGCGACTTCAACACACAAGGAAACTGCTCCAGAACCCAAATCTAAGAAACGCTCCTCTGTGGAGACCAGAGACCTCAGTAAGGAGAAGGTGAAGAGAATCGACTCAGGCCAACACAAGAAGAGGAGCGGAAAACGTCCAGGGAACCCAGACTCAGAAAAGGTGCCGTTCGAGACACCATGAGACTCCTCCATTTAATTACAGTATAATTCTATACTTCACAGACCAGTGTAGCTGTGCTGTAGTGACTCCACAGATATATGTCCGTCACATTATAATCAAGTGTCTGCTTTCATTTGACTATGGCAGTCTTTGAAAGGTTCCCTGAACACATCGTCCTCACAGTCCAACAAGGAGGCGTCCACCAGCAGACCCATGCTGAAGTTTGAAGACAGGTGAGTTTAGATGAGGTTTATTTAAACTACGTTTAAATCAATCTTGTTGTTTTGCTGTCAATGTTAAGCTTTTCAAAAATACAGTTTCATATTTTCATGATTTTAGCCCATGCAAACTCCAGTGCATGTTAAATATAATCCTGTCTGTCAACTGATGTCAATGACAACATCAACAATTGTCAATTATTATTATTATTAATTTATTATATATTGTGAAAGTAAAATACATAGGAGACAAAAAAATATCAAAACATTTTCCAACCCTATATATATACATATATACACACACATATATATACACATAAATATATATATATGGAAATGTTTGTTTACAGTTTTGATAACATTCTGAGGTGTTTAAATGCTAAACATTATTTATGCATTATTTTATTTGAATTGTTAAAACGTTATATTAAAATCCTATGGGTTTTTTTTTTTTTGGCCAGATTTTATATAAGGTTTAAAACAATGTAATTTTTTATGTTATTATTTTCTAGGAAAGCGAGTAAATGTATTTACAGCATGGATTTTTTTTTTTTAATTAATTCATCTTTTACTGGTTCTTTCTCCTACAGACAGTATCCAGTAAAACATTATGTAAAAGAGGCCAAAAAATTAAAGCATAAAGCAGATGCAGAGGTAACGTTTCACCTCTGCTTTCTTCTAAATGTATTATTTGACAGACACTGCAATACTGTACAACTACATTTGTTTTGTTTTCTTCTCATCTATTGCCACCCCCTCCCACCCCTGCAGTCAGATAAACTCAGCAAAGCGTTTAACTACGTGGAAGCAGCCATGTTCTTTGTAGAGAGCGGCATCGCCATGGAGAAGGATCCACAGATCTCCATGTCGTCTTACACCATGTTTGCTGACACGGTGGATCTCCTCAAATAGGAACTGTCTATTATTATTATTATTATTGTTGTTGTTGTTGTTTTAGTTATGTTTGGTTTTTAGGTATTTTCAACATTCCCTCTGTGTGAATGTAATTATTTGCCTGTTAATACAGTAGTTTCAAAGTGACAACATTAGAACTTTGGACATTTATCAAAATTCAATGAATGCATTTGATTTTTCTGTCACATTTTCCTCCTGCACAGATTTGTTTTGAAGCTCAAAAGTTCATCAGACTCTTCTGCGCCACCTTCAGAAAGAGACTTTATAGCACTATGGTAAGAAAGACTTTGTTCATACCTGTCACACATCGATTTGCTGCGGTGGTCGATGTAATCAATGACGGTCTGGCGAGTAATACTAGTAAAACAAAAACCTCTGTGAAGCTAACACTGTGGTATTGAATATGTCAGACTTTTTAAAAATATTTTTTTGTCATATTTAAACTATATTTTTAAATACTTTTTGACATATTTTGTTGTATTTTCTCTATATAAATTATTATTATTATTAACAACCAGTACTGATTATTTTATTTAAATGATTATTACAATTTGGAGAAAAAAAAATAAAATCACATATTTTTGTAAGGATTAATCTCACAGAAACATTTGAAGTTGTTGACCTGTAGATACAGACTTTTTTTTTTTTTAATTTTCCTGAATGTTAATGATTGTATGGACGGTGTCTGTGTCTTGTAGTTTGAAGTGCCAGTCACTCCTGCAGATGGCCATGTTTCGACACAAATATAAAACTGCTCTCAAGTATTCAAAGACTCTGGCGGAACATTTCACTGTGAGTACGAGTTATAGTTTTGAGATGATTAAAATCACACATTCATTAGACAGATAAAATAAAGACAAAACTCTTGGTCTTAGTAATACTTTATTTTTCTGTTCCATTATTCTCCCTAGACGTCACATCAGACTTCGGTCAGCACTACAAAGTGAGTCACCTATTATCAACTTTGACCTCTGACCCCACATATAAAAAAAATCTTCTGTTAAAATGACCTCCCTCTTTACCTCAACCCAGATTCGCCGTGACTCCGTCCCCGATGGCCGACATGCCGTCACCAGCCAACGCGTCCAGCAGCTCAGGTCCTGGTTCTAACCACAGTGGTGGTGGTTCTGGTGTCGGCAGCACGGTTGTTCCTCAGGGTGTTGAACAAATAATGTTCAACTACATCAACATCACCACGTTATTCTTGGGTGCTCACGAAATGTGGGAACAGGCAGAGGCCATGGCACAAAGAGGAAGTGGTAAGAACAGTCAGAAAAGGTTTTGGGTTTTTTTTAACTTTTTAATAACAATATAACAATAACAATTAGTTATATTAGGCTTTTTACTTTTAGTATGCTGCAATAAATGTGAAAATGACCACCTTGCAAATAATACAATTTTTAATCTGATTAAACACGATTATTTATGATTAATTGTTATCATAATCATGATTAATGCAGATTAAATAAAAAATTCCCAAATACGACAAAAACAGGTTTTTCATACATACGTTATCTCGGTGTTGTATCTGTCATCTTCCTCATTTTACTGAAGTACTCTGGCGCCCCCAGTGGAGGCCAACTCTTAAAACCACTGCCATTTTCTGGCGCCCCCAGTGGAGGCCAACTCTTTTTTTTGAAACCACTGCCATTTCCCAACCTTGTGCTACTTGTTGTAGAAAACAAAAAGTGGGTCTAATGTCTTGAATCTGTGTCTCAGGTCTGCTGTCTCTGCTGGACTCGTCTCTGGGTCCACTCACTCTCACATCGTCCATGAACACCGTGGTCCGTTATATGAGGCAGGGCATCCACTGGCTGAGACTGGACAGCCAGGCCAAAAGGTAAAGTGACCACCAGGCTGTTGTTACTGTTGGACCCCTGCACTGCCCCCACCAGGCTGCCTCCTCGTCACGGGGTCCGGTCCTGAGCTCCTCTTCAGATGAACGTCTTTCTTTTCCCCGTCTTTATTTCAAATGGACGTTTCTTTGAAGAGTTGACGCAGTCGTCATCTCGTGTTTGTTTTTAAGGCTGCTTTTGAGATTTACCAGTGAGGATGTTACCACACTGACCTTTGCACTTGTAATTTATTTGTTTTCCACTTCCCTGTGGGAGTCTTTCCTTCTCTGTGGCACTTTGTCAAAATCCAATCATTTCAGGGCTGATGTTTGAGGTGTGTTCACACTTGTGATGTTTGGTTTCTTCTGAAGTGAACCTTGTGGTTGGCGTCACATCCTGCAGGACATGTTCAGGGTGTAGCACCACTGCTCACCAAATCAAGACTTGTCCTTAGATGTAGAACTTTTGGGTCTCCACTCAAATCATTTTTTCACATTTTGCTTTTGCTACAGACTGAATTGACTCGAGTCCCACTGTTCTCCAGTGACTTGTCCTTGAGTGTTAAACCACTGGGACTCCAATCAGACCTGTTCTTCGGTGACACAAACTGTCTGGAAATTCAGATTTGACTCTTGGTGGCTTAGATGTAGTCCTGATGTGGAAGGACTGTAGAACGGGTCTCAAACTATTTTACGTGAATTTGACTTGAAGTCCAAGGACTCACTCGGACTCATCATAAACCCCCGATACAAAGACTACTAATTTGACTTGGACTTGAACCTGACTTGTGTGAGAACTCAGCCGGACTTGAACCAAACTTTTCTTTAGTGACTCTGACTTGGACACACACCCCTCCCCCCACAGACATTGTTCAAACTTTGTGTTATTTTGTAACCCTGGTCCCCTGACATGGACTTGATTCACAGAGATATCGGTACTTTGACCCTAAACTCCTTCCAGACTTATTTTGGACTTGACTTTACAAATTGTTCTTCTGCCTCAAACCTCAAATGTGGAAACTCAGTTGGACCGGATTTAAACTTTCCTTTAGTGACTCAGAGTCAGATTTGGAAACATGGGAACAGACTCAGACTTGACTGGTACTTCCTGTTCTGTGACTGAGACTCTGACTCTGAGTTCAACTCACAGAACTCAACTCAGTTAGCTCAGCTAGGACTTGATTGAAAGTTTTCTCAAATGACTTGGACTTAATCCTAAAAAAAATCTGTAGAATTAACTTTGAAAATAACTGGGAGCTCAGAAGACACGACGGCTCTAAGAACTTGACTGAAACACTTAATTAAGAGATTTGGGGAATTTAATGTCCACATTCTCGATTTGAAAAAGTCTCCTCAGGTTTGGAAAATAGTCATTTTTTCCCTGTGCTATAATAATGTAACGAAACCTAATTTTGCATTTTAAGAACCAAACTCCAAGTGTGAACACAGTCTCCACGTCCTGGTGTTTCCTCAGCAGCAGTTTTAAAAGGAATGTTGTCCAATGAACAGCGGCTTTAATTCAATTTGGACTGAAGTAAATGGAGACGTCGATCAGATTTAACCCAAAGTGCCGTTTGATGGTGGAGTCACTGACATCAAACAGTCTGAATGTAATGACCTGAAGGAGCTGAAGTCACCGAAAACCATAATGAACACAACCTGGAAGTAGAAACTAGTTTGATCTCATTTCTCTTAAGTTTCTCTGTTTTCAGTCTTCCTTTTTTTTCAGGATAGCCAGTAAAGTAAACATTTCTATGCCCTTTGATCACTGCAGTCCACAGCGAGCGTGTCACATGGTCAGAATCATGAAGGACTAATAATTAATGAAACCTGAGCTGCAGCCGCACGTGTGTATTTACACTGCATCTCAGTCGTGGATCCAGTTCTGACCTGGTCTTAAAGTTGAACCCCTGACAGGGCTTCAGGTCTTCGCCTTCATTAAAGCCTGACGTTTTGGAAATAATAAAAAAAAAAAGTAACTTCTGTCACTTCCCAGGCCTCCTCACAGAGCTTGACTCCACAGTATTGTCAGATTCATGTTTGTTCTCTTTTGTATTAATTTATTAACAATATCTATAATTTATTATCATCAGCCTTCATTTATTCTGAATTATCTAAGGAACCAGCCAAGCCTTTCTAGCCCACATCGACATCAATCATAATAAGAGACCAAGTAGCTACGTCCGTTTCTTATATACAGTCAACGCTCAAACAAAATGCTGGAAAAAAAAGGGATTAACTTCACTCGTCTCCACTTTCTGTACTTAGAAACGGGAATTTTCTCTGTCAGCACTAATCATTTTAAATTTCCTTTCTGGCTAAAGTGGAACCAAAAAAAAAAAAAAAATCACTGAAAGGTACACAGTGGTGTTCACTTTAGTTTTTGCACTTAGCAGTAGCCTAGCCTAGCCTTCTTACATGTTTCCTTCACTTAAGTTCAGTTTCCTTAAGGATAACGTCACCTAGGAGCAGATTAGGTTTTGTACAGGGAAAAAAAAAAAATTCCACCAAGCAATAAAGATTTGATTTTGTCGTTATTGAAGCAGCTCATGGGAAAATGTGATGAGTATGACTTGGTTTACATTTGATCCTCACGTCTCGGACTGAGCGCCCTGTACTTTCTCATTTGTCTTGTAAGTTCAGCGGTTGTTTCAAAGGGCTAAACAAGGACCAACCGAGTGTTCCTCACTTTATTTTCTCAGAAGGACAGATTAGATGCTATTTTTTAAGAAGTCACCGTGTGGACAGCTGCCCAGGAACAAGGGATTCTTCTCATTTTTACCTACGGATCATCTACAGGCGGCTGTATCACACCACACACACGGTGGTTCATAAACAACCGGCCGACGTCACCGTCTCTTTTCCTACTTTGTCGGATGTTGTTCTTTCCAATCTGTGGATTCATGTCATTGTGATCAGGCGGTGCCAAGGTTGGTTTACGCCTCGTCTACTGGAAAAATGATCAGGAAGGATTCTGAAGGACATTGATTTTGTTCTTTTTCATTTTGTGAAATATTTGAGGAATTTGTGTTGCAGTGTACACAGATGAATAAACACTGGATATAACACGCAATCTTTAATGTCATTATTTTTCTCAGAGTGCAAACAAAAAAACCCCAAAACATTTCATGTTTGCCTGATGTCACAAACGAACGTCAACACTGTTTGACTTGAACAAATCTTGAGGATTTTTCTGTCAGATTCGAATGTATGTACAATATCTTATCATAAACTCTGTGGACATCTTGAAGACGATTGTCAATGATTTAAAAATTTTGGCTTAAAAAAAAACATTTGACTGTACAAAACATGTCTGCAGTTCGCCTGTTTCACTCTGCTCCAAAGTTAGGATTGCTGAAATGAGGCTTCAACAGAAGAGGGGAAAAAAAGTTAATATTTATAAATGATAATACAGGAGGTCCTCGCTCGGTTTGCTATGTCCTCAACCCTCGACGGTGTTTCGTCATTACGCCATTTCCCATAAATGTAGTAAGAAAGTTTGTATCATTATTTAGACGTGTCGCGTTAAACAAATATCACACGGGAAGTAATTGGTGATAAGAGAGGACAAATATGTCGTCACGTGGAGATACACGCAGTGTCTGACAGTTTTGTTTACGTTCGTCGGTTGTTGGTCATAAACTGGATTATGCTACATTCGCTTTCTTTAGTTTGCGTTTTTTAAGGAAATTTTTGCCCTTCATTTTGGCTCCCAGGCGTAAATCAGACTCTTCTGATATTTTCGATATGTCCGAGATTATGATGTCACCACTGCGTTAGTGTAGCTGAGCGACATGGGTACTAATGTTCAGTTCAGTTTGTACGTCTCAAAAGTCGAGGACCCCCCGTAATTCTATTTCTTTTTCACAATACGTGTGGATTTCTGAACTTACCACATCTACTGTTGTTGAGGACTTTGACGGCCAACTCAAGGCTTTGACGTTATATCCTCGAACACTGAAGACGTAGTAAAGAGCTCCAACGATCAGGCTGCAAATCACCACGGCTGCAATGACGGCACCCGCGATCACCGCTCCTTCTGTACGACACGGGAAAAAAAAAAGATTTTTATTTTTCATTGCTAAAAAAACAAGAACAAATTTACATTTGATCCATTTATTAATTTTGCTGCTGTAAATTGTGCCATGTGATTGGTGGATTCAATTCTAACTAATTCTGTGCACAGTGAGGCAATCACAACAACAACAATAATAATAATGATTTAAACCAGAGGTCCCTGACCTATTTTGTAAATCAACTAATAAAAGTCCGCTCTGCAGTGATGGTTAATGAAACCAAAAAGACTGGGATGAAGGAAAAACCAGGGCCAGAAATAAAACAGTTTTTTTTATGCTGTGTTATTTTGGCACCAGGTCACACTTACGGTTGATATGTGGCCCGTCTGTGGGGAAAATGGGATTCCCGCCATCATCTGTGGTGTAATCTGTAATGAAGGCCATTATTTGATTGGTACTGAATCACTGCTTCATTGGGTCAAAACTTAACAGCAGTTATACAGCAATGGAAGTGATAATGAGGACCACATTGAGAATGTTACGAGATTTTCCCCATAACCGTGCAACTTTGTTCTTTTAACATTACGACTCTTTCTCGTAAACCTGCGACTTTTTCCTCATATTATTACCACTCTTTTTCTCATAAATGTGTGGCCTTTTTTCTTGTAATGTTCTGACTTTTTTCTCATGACTTTTTTCCCCCCATATTGTTGACTATTATAAACTTTTTTTTCTCATGTTACAACTTTTTTCTCAAACTTATGACTTTTTTTGTCATTGTGTTGACATTTGGCTAAAAATCTCAGATCACAAAGTCCTTACACTGCCGATGTCGACATGCAAAGCCTCTCTTCTGCAGACAGTTGTTGTCGTTCCAGCGTCCATCGTCGTACATCTCCACACAGTTCTCCTCGGCCACGTCACCAGGATGGAAGGCCGCGTTGGGTTCTCCAGGAGCCCAGTTCACGTAGCCAACGGACGTCTTATCTGTCCAGCCCCAGCCAACTAAAAAAATAGAAGCCCAAAGTTCATCCATGTGCTTTATCCCCCTAACCCTCTTTCATAGCTGCTTTCATATCCTCGTCATTTTGTCCACCTACAGTTTCGATCTCTGGTGAGTCCGATCCAGATGTTGTGTTTTTTGGTGTAGTTGAGGTTTCTGATGAACTCCACCTCTGCTCTGCTGTGGATGGACACCAGCTCTGCTTTGGCTTCTTGGCAGTAGTGTCGAGAGTCGGGCCAGGAGTAGCCCTTCTCACTGTTGTACACTAGGTAACAGTAGCGACCGTAGGGAATCCAGAAGGGCAAACACTTTCCATCGCCGGGGGCAGGAGTCGGAGGTGGGGTTTCTGAGATCACATTCAGACACATAGAACACGAACGCTTACAGATTCAGTTTCAATACAGTTTCTGTTCACAAGGTCATGTAGTTACTGACCCCTTATCCATTATGAAATGTAAAACTAATGATGAGCTAAAGCTATATATTAGCAAGTTTCTGTTCACAAGGTCATGTAGTTACGTAGAAATGTAGAAAACTGAGCAACTCAGCTGAGAGATTTCAAGGTTGAATTAAATGTTTGGAGTGTGTGACTTGAGTTGAACCTCTGGTGATTTTGCAGATGTAGGGTTTGGCCACTTCACACTTGGTGTCGTTCCAGGTTCCATAGAAGAATCGTGAAACCAGCATGCTCACACAGCCCTCATCCTTGATGTTAGTGGGCTCTCCTGGACCCCACTGAGTGAAGAACACTGGCCAGCCGTCGGACCAGTAGTACGAGCCATCGTCCTGGGTTAGAAACGCAGCAACAGAACACTTTAAAAGTCTGGTCTTAATGAGAGACGCTGAAACTTTGGACATTTTTCAACTGCAACAAATATTACATCATATACTGTACATGTTGACACATGCAGCAGATTATAGTATAGCGTAATTTACGTCATATATATGTGTGTATATGTATATTTATACACACATGTATGTATGTACGTAAATGTATGTATGTAAATATATTTCATATGCTGTATATATGTACGTATAACTCACATAACTAAAACCTAACACATTTATATAAAATAAAATATAAAATTGGCCAAAATGTAGTTAATGAGAAAAACATAATTATTATTATCATAAATCATGCAAAAAGTGTTTTTAGGCCCATAAATTAAATACTTTAGAGCAGGGCCGTCATGATGCAAAGAAGTACGAATATATCAGATACATTTTAATATTTAATGAAATATAATTTCAAGTGGGCCGGATTAAAACCCCAAGAGGGCCGGTTTTGGCCCACGGGTCTTATGTTTGACACCCCTGCTTTAGATTATTATTAAGTTAGTATTTACTCATTAGAGAGACAGGCCCAGTTAGAAAATATTTTATATTATTTAGTTTACTGTGTACTTATTCGCTCTTATATATATATATAATTTTGTCATACAGTCTAATTTGGGCCCCACCTTGCGCCGGAGTCCAATCCACACGTCAGACTTGGCCTGCTGCACCACTATGGAGACGAAGGCCTGGTCGTAGCTCAAGTCGATGCTGACCAGGTTTCCACCCTCCTGTTTGCACGCTGCTTGGGCTGCGTCCCATGGTGTGGGCTCATGCACCAGCTTGTAGCAGTTCTGGTACCAGGGTACGTAGTCAGGGGGGCAGGAGGTGGGTGTCGGGGGTGGAGGGCCGGTGCTGTTTGCTGGTGTGGGGAAAACATGGGGATGAATTGGAGTGAAGAGCAGATGATTTTATATAATTCAGTGTTTTACGTGAGTGGTGATGACTGACATTTCCCCTTGTAGCAAACAAAGCTGTGTTCCTTGTGACAGGCGTCGTCGTTCCATTTACCAGTCACCAGGGGGCCGTGAGCCATCGCTACACAGTCTTCCTGAGGAGGGAATAGAACATTAGTTATGTAGCTATCTCGAAATTCAACTTTGCAACACATCGTTCTCAAGGCTAAATACCAGAACTTTCCATCAGCCTGTTAGAACTGAAGACGTTTTTTTTTTGACCAACTTTTCAAGAAACTAAACCGGTCCAGTCCAAAGGTTGACGACCACAGTTGGTAATCAAACCCCCAACATTGTGACTAAAATAGGACCTACAGTACTCTGAAAGACAACTAATGTCCCCTCACCGCTCCTCCTGCGTTGTTTGGTTCATTCTGGTTCCAGTTGGTGTACAGCACTGGGCTGACGCCGTCGCTCCAGGTGTATTGGTTTTCATTTAAGAGATCTGACAGACCAATCCACGTGGGCAGCTCCAGGTCCCTCAGGTAACTGGCCACAAAGTCTACCAGGACAGAGAGGGAGATTTGAATGTAGTCAAAAGGATTTACAACATGTGAAATTGTTTTCTTACCATTTTCATACTGGTCATCAATGACTGCCAACTCTCCTCCTTGTTCCTGGCACCAACTCCGAGCGTACGTCCAGTTGGCTTTCAAGTCATTTTTCTTCCCTTTGAATATGAAGCACTTGTTCCTGAAACGCAACCATCCTTGAAGGAAGAACAGAAGGGGAGGACAGAGGACACAGTAAGTTTCAAGGGAGATGACAGCACTTCTTGTGCAACTTTACACCACAAGATGTCACTGTGAATTACTGATGAGTTATCATAGTACTGCAGTGGATCTTATGTATGATCTATTAGTCTATTAAATGATGTATTTAAAGTCTCTTAGACGTTTCGTGAGTCTCCCACATATATTGACAGAAGTTTCCTGATGCGCAGAAATTAAATCAAATGTCCTGAGGGTTCGTGTGAAGCGGGGAAAATATGACACCATGCGCCTAATTGTGGTACTGAACGAGTGTTACTATTCATGAGCTACAATTTTCAAAACATACGTTGTGATTGGTTGATTTTGTCGAGCAGACCAATCAGTTTTCAGAGTAGGCGGGCCTTGACCTGTTTTCCATTGCACCGGAAATAAATTAATTATCTTGTTAAAACGTCAGTTTTAACCACCGTATTAGCAATTATTCTAAAAAAGTACAACACCTTGACTCCTTAATACATGTCTGAAGTAATTTATTAGTTCGTCTTCACACGTGCTTCTCTCCGACCTATCGTACGACGACGTTATACTTGAGGAAAACGCTCATGTCGACAAGCGACGTAAATAATGACAAAAGACACGCGGTTTCCAGGTATAACTATTTCTATGAATAGTAGTTGGCTGGTTGTCAATATTTAAAATATAAAATAGGTTTAAATGAATTTAATTTTGGTCCGTTGTTGTCCACAGTTATTTCCTGCTGGTCACCTGCAGGACAGTATCCCTGCCAGGGCTGTGTGGGTGCAGGAGTGGTGTGAATGTCTCCGGGGAACTTCTTGCAAAGGTAACCTGCAGTTCGGCCACAGTTGGCGTCGTTCCATCCACCTTAACAAAACATAAATTATTGCCAAAAGGCGTTCAGTAAACCTGGTATTTAAACACAGAAGTATTTTAACTAGAGAAAACCCCGCAGTACCTTGATGTCTGTTAAACTGAACACACTGCTCCTCCCCGTTAGCGTTGTTGGGCTCACCTGAAGCCCAGTGAGTGTAGGTCACAGGGGACTGGTCCACCCACCTGTGGACACAAAACACACACATCTTTGGTCTTTTGGATGTGCAGATATGAAAAAAATAAAATAAAATTGCTGTGTCCTCCAATGAAGATTGATTCTTTAGTTTCCACCAGATGGAATCACATACATACATGTATTGTGCACTTGCGATGCCAAACACCCGCATCCCAATCCAGGATGCAGCCACCTTCCCTGTCCCAACCTGGAGGAAGAACCCATCTTACAGATCACAGGTTTCACACAGCTAATGAAGAGATAGCAGTCGTGTAAATAAGTCAGAGACGTACCATGCTGTTGACAAAGGCCTGTTCGTTACTGTTGAGGATGGAGACGAGGGAGGCGTTCTCATGGTAGCAGCGAACCATGGCGGTGTGAAAGTCCACCACGTTAGTGTCGTTGTAGTAATAACAGATGTTGTTATTCTTCCTCCAGCCTGGGTTGGCTCCACAGTCAGGAGCTGGAATAGCAAGGGGTGATGTTGGTTTTATGAATGGTGCTGAGATTTTACATGATCTATTTTAAAGTTGTAAGACACTCTTCTTTTTCAAAATTATGGGAGAAATATTTTGTTTGGACAAACCTCCTTTCTCTTATTGTTATGAATACGCTGCAACATTAGCCAACAATTCTTTTTGTATACTTCATAGACATATACTTTTCACTCTTCCGTAGATGCTTTTAGATTTTTTTAGCTACTAAGTTAGGCTATTTTCAGAATATAATTTTCTTTGAATAAAAACACGATTGTCTCCTCCTCTTTGTCTCTCATAGTGAGAGCTTTTTATGATGTGTAAAACAGCGCCTCTCTAAATACCATGGTAAATAAGCGCTGAAATCATGGTACTGCACCCTGTTTACCTTTAAACTAACTCTGCAGTTAATTTATATGCTAATCTTTAGCCTCAACATAATCTGTAGCTTGTCTAATTTTAAAAACTTTTTTAAAGAGATGCCCCCAATTGTATTGATTTTTACTGAATATTTGCAACATCCAGCTAAAACCAGGCATTTTATGACAGTGAGAGATTTAAAGGACATAATCTGATGTTTTGTTTAGAAAAAAATCCCCAACATCCCATATTGATTTATATCCTTAGTTCCATCGCAGCTTCTCGCCTCCATTAACTTGACCTCTTGTCTCATTTTACCTGGGATTGGAGGTGGAGTCACTGGGGGCGGGACGGGGGTCTTTCCTTTAGTAATCATGCATATCCAGTCCTGGTGAGCGTCACAGTTGAGATCGTTCCACCACGACTGTGTCCCGTTGGTGTTGCTCATCATCTCCACACACTCCTCCCGTCCCTCATGATCGTTTGGTTCACCATGTCCCCAGTTGGTGTGAGACACAGGTGTGCCGTCGCTCCAGGAGTACCCTATTCCAAAATATATGTTTAGGTTTTTATTATGGATGTCCGATATTAACTTTTTGCCGATATGCCAATATATGTCTTAACACTTAATTTCAGATTCCAATATCAACCAATAGCGATATCGGCCTGGTAATATTTATTTATTTATCTGTACAAACCATTGTACGAGTATGAGATTAATTAAATGAGCTGCAATGCTGCCATCTAGTGAGCTTTGCTTTAATATAGAACTGTTTATTCCCAATACTACTTTTAGAGCACACATCATTTGCCGAAACCCAGGCATTGCGTTTTTCGGGTTTTCATTATCAGAGGAAAAAACAATAACAATTCTTACAGATTTTACATAATTATGCTGATATTGAACACACATCTTTAAACATACCTCCTTCAACGGAGTTGCGTTTGAGGCCGATCCACTTGCTGCTGGCCTTGCTGTACAGAGACAGAAAGTCTTCCTCCTCCTGGTTGTGGATGCTGACCAGGTCTCCTCCTCTGGCCACACAGTCCTCACGTGCTGCTCCCCAGCTTTTCTTTGAGGACCAGTCCACATTGTGGAATAGCTGTATGTAACAAAATAGAACATTAGTGAATGGAGATCTCATTAGCTTTTGATGAATAACTTTCTGACGTACCTTGTAACAGTTCCTGAAGTGAGGCAGCGCGGTCCAGCCTTCAGAACAGCCCTGTGATGGAGGAGGGGTCGGGGGTCTGGTGGGTGGGCTGATGTCAGGTCTAGGTTTCTCACATATGAAGGCATATTTCTCTGAGCATGGTTTGTCATCCCAGAATCCTCCAGGCTGCCCGGTTGTCATCGCCACACATGTACCCTCTCCGTTATCTGGGGACAAAAGAGGAGTTTCTGACGTGTCCTTGTTTCCCTGTCCATTCAGTGAAGTAGTCACAATAATCCAACCTGGCTGGTCTCTGTCCCAGTGAGTGAAGGTGACAGGGGACCCATTGTCCCAGATGTAGTCCACTCCCCCACCGTCCCCACCATGAGCTCGCAGGCCAAGCCACCAGAACCCAGTCCTTCCTGCCAACACTACTGTGAAGTGTGCTTGTTCATAACTGCAGTGAAACACACAAAAACAGGAGGGCTATTTTAAAGATATTGGTATGATGACTATTTGCAAAAATATATAAGAGTAGAATGGGAGACACAGCATTCAGCTGCCAGGCTCCCCTCCTCAGGAACGTTGACATCACACAATTGTGTTTTGTGAATTTGGCCGGACTCACATGTCTCCAATGTGCAGCAGGACGCCATCTTTCTCGGTGCAGAAGGTTTTAGCCTCGGTCCAGGTCTTGACCGACTCCTCCATCCAGTAACAGGAGTAGCCGTATGCACTCCAGCCCTGTATAAGATTCATGAGTCCTACATGTTTACACACACACTGTGGTTGAACAGGAAACAGTGACATTAACATATCATACCGCAGGACAACCGTACACCGTGGGCTGCACAGAGGGCAGGGGGTAATGGTCTTTGGGCATCTTGCATATGTAGCTGTTGAGCTCTGTACAGGGTTTGTCATTCCATCGACCAGTCTGCAGAAAAAAACCCATCAATTAAATCGTTTTTTGATTGTACAAATTATTATTATTTATTATATTTATTATATATTTATGTATTATTGTCCTCCATTGCTGTCAAACTCACTGTGTTCCACATCTCTACGCAGTCTTCGTTGAAGCCCTCGTGATTGTTTGGTTCTCCGGGAGCCCAGTGGGTGAAGGTGGTCATGTGTTCATCTGACCACGTGAAAAAGCCTTGGACCTTTAGGTCATTTAGTCCAATCCACGTATCACTGGTCACTGTAAAGGACAAGTGCCAAAAAAGTGTAGACCTCATCTTGATATGATTATGGAGCCAAACACATGTCAAGTCTCTATATATGCAGATGACTATCTGTTTTAAATGGGAATGAGGGAGGTTTTTATTCACCCATTGTTTTGTATGTTTTACCTCAGTGTTTTGTCCGTCTGCTAATAGTCACATACAAGGATCATCAGGTCATTTGTGTTTTTGTGTATTTTTTGCAGATTCTTACATAAATACAGATAACTTTCCAACCAGCTCTGCTCAACCATGGAGAGGATGGACACCAGATCAGCTCCCAACTTCCTGCAGCTTTCCCGTGCGTCGTGCCAGGTTTTTTTGTCACTGAAAGCCTTGTAGCAGAAATCACCAAACTCATGCCAGTCTGGTCCCGAGCACCTGAGCTCTGCCGATAGGGAGTAATTAATCCAGATTGAAGATGAGAAAATTGGACGATTGATGTTTGAGGTCTGTACAGTCATTCTTTTTTTTTCTTGTTTTTGTTGCTTATTCCAATGTTTTAGACATTTTGGAAAATTTAAAGGCAGGAATGAAATTCCAAAGTATTAAAAACTCACCAATGGAAATATTCTTAATTTGTAGGACTGCAAACAAGTCAACTCACCGCCATCTGCAAAAGTGAAGGAAACCTCGAAGTTCCCGTCAAACCTAAAGAAAAACGCAACACCTCAAAACAGTGAGTCAAAATCTAATAAGGAGAAACTCAACAACAGCTCAATGGAAGGGTGATTTATTTGAGGAAACTCAGCCACGTACTCTCTGGAGGTGATCCCATTCCTGGTGGAACCTGTGTAGAAGTCCTGTCCTGGAGCTTTCAACAAGGTGCAGTCTCCTCCATTTTCATTGAGGACAATTCCAGCATGGATGGCTGCTGCACAGATGTTGGAGTCCTGTCATGAAGGATCATGTGTTAAGATTGTCATAGATTTTTATTTTATATGTTGTATTAAAGCATTTATTCGACGATGAAGAAACTTACCCCACGATATGTGGTCGTACCGAAAACTTCATAATTTTCTTTGGCACAATGTGCTGGACAGTGGACACTGAATGAGACATGAGAGTAAAGATTTCTCACTGTGTAGCCAATGGAAATTCATGAACTAAAGACACCAAAGAGAAGAATATAAAATAATTTTTTGGAAATTCATGAACTAAAGACACCAAAAGGAAGAATATAAAAAAAAAAGAATCTTTTCAAATGTGAGATGACGTAACTTACGTCATTTTGTCATTGAAGGAGTTAAAGTTGGCCTTGCTGGAGCATCTAACGGCATCTGTAAAATCATACGTTGCGTTAATTTTTATTATTTTTTGCCATGCATGACATCACAGCAGATGTTTGTTGTAATAACTGCTCTCTTACAGTCAGGGGTGCACCCCAAAGCATCAAAACGCAGTCCTGTCTGTCCGCTGTATTCCAGTGGAAGGATACGGACGTACTTTGCGGACACAGGTGTTCCCATCAGCTGAGTGTCCACGGTGTTCCGATCAGTTGAGCCTGGGAAAAACTGCAAACAAAGAGGGTACCTTTTTGTTTTGTAACCACAATACCTTGATGTTTTTAAGGTGTTAGTCTCTGTCTCTTCACCTCTCCGTCAGCAGTGTAATCTGTCCAGGTGTTTCCATCCATACTGTGTTTGATCCTGAACTTAGTGACCCAGTGGTCGTTTTGAGGACAACCTTGGATGGCGATCCCTGTTACTTTTCTGATGGGACCCAGGTTCACCTGGATCCAGCTTGAGCTTGCTGGAGACAGAAGCAGATTAAATATTGTGTATATTATAAAGTATATTTCTGCTTAAACTTTTTAATTGTCCTTTAATTTTTTGTTTATACATGCACTGGGTAGCTGTGGATTAATCAGGATAGATTAACATGCCTAAATAATACTTTTTTTCTGTATATTGCTGGAAAAGAAAGACAATTCCCAGCAGATAAATGGTTCTGTTTCACAGCTTTATTAACTAAATTGTGGAATGATTAATATGGGAAAAGTCTTTAAGTTCATGAGTTAGAATAAAAAAAAAATCGATTAATTTCACTAATTGATTTTTGCCATTTGTATGACGGCTCCAGTAAAGTTTCATTCATTTATCTCATCTCATTCTCACTGTTTTAATACAAATATAAACTTAGTTTTCCTTACGGCTTCCTGAAGGCATCCAACAGGAATTTCCATTCAGTCTGGCTTTATCAGGAGTGAAACCACCAGTGGAGGAAGAAGCAGTGAGCTGAGAGTCAGTGACCAGTCCATCCTCAACACCCAGGCCGTGCAGACACACTGAGGGCAGAGAAACCACAACACCAGGAGACGGTCAGATGATGATGATGGTGATGAAGAAGTTCAGGATGTCTGGTGAAGTAGAATAACCTTCTTGTTCACAGCTGTAGACAATCTCCAGATATTTGGAGACAGTTGGACAGGGGTCCTGGTCCACATGAGCGTATGCGAAACAAAAGCGACGATTGTCACAGATCTTTCGAATCAAAGGGAGGACGCCATCTACTGTGCAGGTTCCTGCAGAACATGGGATGAGCATGAAGCAGTGATAAGGTACCAGTTTTCCAAATACTGTTCAAAACTCTTCCACAGCACCTCCTGAATCTCCCAGGTGTGGACAGATATCGTCTTTTTTTCGTCCGTAGAAGGCAGACTGGATGTTTATGGCACTTTCCTCTGGACAGTGAAGGACAGCAGATGAGCCCTCACACACCAGTGCTGTCATGAAACCTGCATGGAAAAGTTCACCTCTGGATATATGAAGTCAGCACAGACATGTATGGTCCTACTGGAGGTGAGTGTCAGAAAGTCAGTGTCAATCTTTAGATGTAGTTACCATCATGGGGTGGAGGAGGCTCAGGAGTCCGTCCTAAAAGAAGGATACATGAATAATGAGTTTAAACACGTACAGTACCAACATTCTGAATGTTATACAAGGGCGGCAGGTGGCACTGAGTCCATCCTCAAACTCAATGACAAATTGATTTCTGAAGCCAACTAAATTAAGTATTTTATTTTTGACAACTTCTTAAAATCAGAGTATACGTACCAAATTCAAGAAATACAAAAAGGTTTTTTTTAATATCAGAATTTTGAGATTAAACAGCCTAAATTGTAAAATATGAAGAAAAGATTTTAATAATATGCTTAATAAAAAAAAATAGTTTAAACTTTTAATAATATGCTTAATAAAAAAAAAAAGTTTAACAACTGTTTAAAATAGTTTAAATGTGAATGACATCATCACTTCTTAGATTTAATCTTGAAATTAAGGAGAAAGAAAAAGGCACAAAATCTCAAAAGCTAATCCTTTGGTTCTAGGATTGTTGACTTCATGTCTATAAACTTTGGTGTACTAGGTCACTAAGTTATGGCTAATCTTTCATGCATTTGGATTCATGTTCTAAATATTTGTGTTTTCAGTGATGATGTTTTTCATCAGGTCAGTTCTGTCCTCTGAGTAAAGAGCCATGGCCAACATCTCACCTCTCTTCTTGCAGATGTATCCTCGCTTGTATTCACAGACGTCATCATTCCAATAACCATCATTAATGTACATGGAGAGGCAGTCTTCACCAAAATAGTCATCTGGATTACCTGTGAAGAAAGTCAAGAAATGAACTAAAAAAATGTTGTTTTCCTGAAGGAAATTGTCTCGGAAAATTTGTCCGACCAAGTTAAGTTCACATTAACCTTCGGCCCAGCGAACATATCTGAAAGGAGAACCGTCTGTCCACTCCCAGCCTCCTTCATTGACGGCGTCATGACCTCCCATCCACAGGGAGATCCCTGTAGGACTGTTCTGGACAATACCTCAGAGGGAACAATGAACAAATAAGTAAAGCCATGCAGTGTGGTCCAAGATGTAGTCAGACTTCCTCCCGTCTTTCTCCCTTTTCCCTCCACTAGTGTACTGTTAGTTAGTGGTTCGTGCATGAACATGTCCATCCCTTCATGACTGCACCTTATGATTAAAAGGCTGCCACCAAGAGGATGACAGGCCACATGACAACACAGGCCAATAATCTCAGATGTTTTTTTTAGATAAGCCTAGTTTGTCTTAGTATTAGATGCAGATCAGTGGTGTCAAGCATACGGTCCGCAGGCCAAAACTGGCCC